GCCACATGGGCCCCTGGGTTCACGAGGCTACTTCTTCAAGGTCAGCCAGAACTCAGCCTCCCTCTGCATCACTTTTTCCTTTTAAAGGCTAATCTAATTAGGTCAGAAGACTAAGCAAAATCTCTCTTAACTCGCTGTCAAATCATTAAGGCCCTAATCATATCTGCATAATTTATATTTCCATCCAACTCAGCAAGTTGAAGAAAGTGATGTGCTATTAAAATTTCCAAGTCTCTTCCCACAGTTAAGGGCAGAGTTATTTCTCACAAGGGTTGGAGGATTGCTGAGGCAAAAAACGGAATAAGCTCAGAAATCTTTCTATCATAACCACTATTTTCAAATTCTTCAACTTAATTAAAACTGTGCATTTTCACTCGGCATTCTGCAGGATCCCTGTGGGGTCTGGAAGAGTTATTCTTCTCCATCCTCTGCTTAAAAAATGTCTTATCCTCCCTTGAAATGAAAAGCATTGGGCACAAAATCTTCTGTAGACTTTGATGTTATCTGTTTGATTTACAGTATTGGGGCTTAAACCCAGGTCCTTCCCATTGAGCTACAACCTTGACACTTTTGTTAATGCTGTTGTTTGTTTTTGTCTTGGGGGAATGGGTTTTGCTAAGTTACTCAATTGCCCAGGCTGGGCTTCAATTTGGGATCCTCCTGGGGCAGATTCCCCTCCTGGAGTGCTAGGATTACAGGCATGCACCACTCTATGCAAGTTTATGCATCTCTTGCGATCTGGACTTGAGAAAAGTAATAGCAGATTACAGAAACAAAAAAGTGAAAAAGGTTATATGCTGCACAGTTGTTGCCTTTATACTCTGGGTAATAATTAAACGCATTCTATTTTGCCATATTGTGGACTCTTAGTACGCATTTCCTTACGGAGTCCATCAGTTCCTGAAAATTCTGATCTCACTCATCTTCCATTATTCATATAGTCAAAAGAGCAAGCTCTCCTTTCACGAGGCATTTCTTTTGGTCCTCTCAGAAAGGTTAATAAATGTGTGTGAGCCCCAAATAATGTTGCAACATTTTCTGAATTACTAAAATTAAATCAAATAAATTATTTCAGTCTCATAAGAACCTTATCACAGAATTTAATTGATGTTCTTGCAATTATGAACAAATCCAGCTTATTCTGTACATATTTCAGGTACGTTTGTGATGTGCGAAATCAAAGTTCCTTCCCTTCCTCCAAAATAGGAGAGTAGTCCGGCAGACAGCTAGGTAAGGTGAAGTAGAGAGAGATGACTCTTAATTCCCTTTGCTTTTTCTGAGCTACTCTATTTTGTGAAAAGAGATTACCTAAGATCAGGGACAGGAGAAAGTAAGTATACCTAGGATATTGAAGTTCTTTGATCACTGTGGGATATAAGCTTTCAGCTGCAAAAAAAAAAAAAATCTATATGTACAAAAAGGTACTTTCATCTCACTCTCTTTCCCTGACTATCAAATTTTCACCTGCTGTGATAGGTCAGTAGTTCTTAAAAGGTATAGATTGTGCTTGTTTTCTAAAAAAATATTATATATATTTATATAAAAGTTTGAGAATTCTCTCATCTTGGGCTTGAAATGGACTTAACCCTTAACAATAGGGTGTGCAGTTTATTCAGATATCTGTCATATCAAGTAAAGACATAGACAAACGTGACTTGCATACTCCTCCAGATAATTAGATGGCTCTCAATTTGAAGGAGAAACTAGAGCGAGGAAAGAGGAACAACTGGGCCGAAGGCCTGTGTCCTAGCACAGCAGATGATTCCCAGACTGACAAGTTTGCTTCTGGGCAGAGGGTTACCTAAGTTGATAAATTCAGATGAGTCTTATACTAGAATTCGGAAAGGCGAACATAGAAACATTACATTGTTTATAAAGTGTGAACCATTTAGAGTTTATAAAACACTGGAAGTACAGTTCTTTTGAATTTTAATGTTTTCATAGCCATTTACGGCACATAAGGACTACATTCATCATGGGGAGTTGGAACAGGCACATAACACCTGTTGTCTTCCCTTCTTCTTTTCTCCCTTTTTCCTCTCTCAATCTCTTGGTTCTCTTCCCTTCTTTTCTATTATTTTTTTTTATTTTGCTGTCTGAGTCCTTTGTATTTTGAGCTCCTCATACAAGAGAAATCATGCAATACGGGCTTGTTAATTTATTGATTTCACTTAATCCAGTTTTACATGCTCTCTGATTTGAATTAGCGAGTACATCCTGTGTCATATATTTTTCTTTCCTGGACATCTCCTAAGATATTGAATTAGAAATGCATTAAGTCTGCAAATTCATTATTAGACAGGATGACACTATTCTCTAATTTGCTGGACGTCAAAGGAAAGCGACCGTATCCATCTTTGCCTCTCCTCTGTTCTCCTAGGATTATCTCTGGCCTTGCCTCCATGCATTCCATACAAAAATTCAACTTGCATATTTCAGTTAACTCGGTGATGAATTATTTCCTTTCTTAGTGGTTTCTTTTTCTAGTTACTGCTTGCAAATATAGAATTATTATGAATTCACTACTCACAGGCATATAAACTAAGCCTAATTTATGAAAAGATTTCCCATAATTTGCCCTAGTCTTCTTTATTCCAAGCTAAACACCCCAACTGGTCACCTTTTCTTTTTATGTGTGTTAGTGTACATCTGAAATACAGAACACTGATGTTCATTTTGGGGAGTGGTGCACAAGACGACAGTTTGATCGTGTTTATTCCCTGTAGCCTCTTCTCCTTCACCCTTCCCTCCCTGGCCCCTCCATCTCCAAAAGCCTACCCTCTTTTTTCTACCATCCATCCTCTATTTTATTCGTTTATGTACTTATAGTTCCAGTTTCCAATATGAGAAAAATCATGTGAAATTTAACTATCCATGTCTGAGTTATTTCATTTAAGTTTATTCTCAAGTTGCACCCATGATGATTTCGCTCTTCTTTTTGGCTCAGTAATATTCCATTGCATTGTATAGCACATTTTTAAAAATCCATTCTGTGCACAGGCATCAAGGTTGTTTCCAGGGATTTTCGACTTACTGTGCTTGTGCTGTTATAAACATGGGAATGCACATGTCACTATACTGAGACATTTTTAATTCTTTCAGGAGTAGATTCAAGACATTGTCTTTTCTTGAGTCTGATTCTCTTTAACAGACTACAGGAGTCAAGCTGTAGACAGTCAAAGTAGGGTCAAGGGACTGTGCCCTCTCTGTTTGTCAGACAGAACCTTTCTATTGATGTCACCAGTAGCCATATATGAACCACGGTGTACCGTGTGCCTCCCATTTTTATCTGTGTGGGTTTTAAGAGAAAGCACAATTTCAACAAGAAATTAACAAAAAATATCAATATTATATGTGAACAGTGCATTAAGTAAGTAAAAATAAAGTCAGGGAATGGGGAATGGTTGTGGGAAAAACATGAATAAAATATAATAAACTAGATATAAAGAAAAATAGAGGCCAAATAAAATAAGACCTCATAACTAAAAAATGCTACAAAAATGACCATGTCATATGCAAATATATATTACTGTTTTGGGTATATACTCTATGCTGCTAAACTATGACAGTTAAGGATTTCACAATTTTTTTCCTTTTTTTTTAACTTCCTCAAACAAAAATATTTGAATCAGTATTTTGGGGGTGGGGGTTGAGACAAGGTCTCACTATGTAGTCGAGACTGACCTGGAGCTCACTATGTAGCCCAGGCTGGTCTTGAATTTACAGCGATCCTCCTTGCCTCAGCCTCCCAAGTGCTGGGATTACAGGGGTGCACCACCACGCCCGGCTTGAATCAGTATTAAAAAAGAGAAAAAAGAGAAAAAAAAACTTTAAAAGAGAGAGAGAGAAAGAGAAACAACTTCCTTCAGTTTGTGGGTGCTACGCAAAAAACAGATCTTGACACAAAAATTAGGAAATCACTAGAGGCACAAGGGAAGAAATTATTTTAGAAAATAAAAATATTTAAAAGTAACAGAAAATCATGTTAGTGGTACATTTATGTTGCCTTTTTAGTGGTGATCACAAATCAGTCACCGGCATTTATTCAATTTATCACTTTAAAAAGCGCAACTATAGCAGACTTTTGAAATATATTATTTCCAATCATTGGAAGGAATAACCAGAATTTACAGTAATGACAAGCGAAAACTCCTCAGCACCGGTGGCTGTGGGGGAGATGACTCCCTGTGTTAGAGTCTATGGCCCGCTTTAACTTGATTGTTTGCGTTTAAATCCATACATCTTGTTCATACATCCTGGCAATGCACTGCAATGCCACTGTTTTATGATAATTTCCAAGAACGCAGGAAACGAAGTCTTTTCACAATTTCCATTGCATATGTTCAAAAATATTGATACTCAGCTTCTGTAGTGGAATAACTACACACTTAAAAGTACTTAACGGCACATGGTATTGTTGTCAGAGTAAGAAAACCTGGCTGTAAAAAAGATCCTGTAGTTTGTTATAATGAATTTGCAACTAAAGAGCTTTTCAACTATGCAGTATTTGTTGTTGTTCTGTTTTTGCTTAGTATTTCTTGGTTACAGTAGAGGGCAGTATTGGATAAGAGCAGAGAAGCACTGGCCTTCCCTGAGTACTGCTTTCCTATTGCTTATATGAGATGAATAAGCCCTCTCCAGCGTGTATATCTACGTGTATGTTAATTCATTTTAATATACGCAACAGATTATCCCAACAAGCTCCCCAGAAACTTCTACACGGGGTGGTCCTTTTATTCAAATATTTACCTTGCGTTTTCTTTAGCCAGTAATTACAAAAGAAAAAGTTGAGAGGCTTAGGCAGAGAGATAGGAAGTCCCAGCTCTTGCTGTGCACTTTAAGCATTTAGTGGGATGTAGCTCAGTGCAAAGGCCCTGTGTCACAGAAGAGAGAGCAAGAAAGAAATACGAAACCACTGGAATTAGTACTAAGCTGTGAAATGCTGAGGATCCAACATTCATCCTCTCTGCTGCCCTCACTCGCGTTTGTTCTCACCACAGGCTTTAGACTTTGAAACGAAGAAGGCGTATACTTTCAAAGTCGAGGCGTCCAACCTTCACCTGGACCACCGCTTCCACTCCGCCGGCCCCTTCAAGGACACAGCCACGGTGAGGATCAGCGTGCTGGACGTGGACGAGCCGCCGGTCTTCAGCAAGCCGCTTTACACCATGGAGGTGTACGAGGACACCCCGGTGGGGACCATCATCGGCGCGGTCACCGCGCAGGACCTGGACGTGGGGAGCAGTGCTGTCAGGTGAGACACACAACGGTTCTCTGTGTGAGAAAAACAAAACTAAAACAAGCAAATGATAAGCAATTCTCCGCCCAGAGCTCAAGGGGATTTAGTTGCCAGGATGTCAAAACACCTATATGATTGATTGTAAGACTAGAGGAAATTCCACAGATTGAATAAAAACATCAGATATCAGTCTTTGCACCTGTGTCACCAAGGGAAAGATGCCAGGCGTGTCAGTTAAGGTGAGCAATCTCAACTTCGCACCCATAGAAGAGATTTTATAATACAGTCTTGAAGAATGAGTCTCAAGGTCAGTGATGTTAAGCTCCTTTCAGAGTTCCTAGAGCATAATAAACATTAATAAATTTTACAATTACTTTTAAATAGTTCCCCTTTTGCCCAAAATGTGCATTAGGGAAAAATATTCTTTTACCATTTGTAACTTGAATGCAGTTTTGTTTTTTTTTTTACTTTTGTTAGTATAGTGCATGCTCACAGTACATACTGATCACATTCACTGTAGGAAACTGGGGCATACACAACATTCCAGGGTCCTTCTTTGTCCTATGAAAGTATTTTTTCACAGTAATGTACACCTCTCCTGGTACCGAAGATGTGTATGCAAACAGCCTTAGTCAAGGTCCGTCCCCCTGTCTCTGCCTTCTAAGTCTATAGATTCCATTAGCACTACTCAGGGTAATAGGAATTCCCTTCCTTTTCCTCACCTATGGGATTATCCTGCAAGACATTTGAATTTTACTCCCATATATTTTATTGTATCCTCATGGTCACGTGCCTTCACCTACTGGGAAACTGAAAGCCAAAGATGAGATTTGTTCTGAGTCATCCATCCCTAAAATGTTAGTGCTGGTAAGGACCAAATTAAGAAAAGAACTACTTTACCATGGACAGAAATAGATGTATTTGCTAAGATTTTATGACACATGGAAGATAACAAAAGGAAATGAATCCCGAATGCAGTGGTGGACTTAGTGGAATAATTGCACATAGTAGAATCTTTAAAAACATTTTAAAATCATAGGCCGGGCGTGGTGGCGCACGCCTGTAATCCCAGCACTCAGGAGGCTGAGGCAGGAGGATCACTGTGAGTTCGAGACCAGCCTGGGCTACATAGCGAGTTCCAGGTCAGTCTCAACTACACAGTGAGACCCTGTCTCAAAAACAAATAAATAAATAAATGGAAAAAACAAACAAACAAAACCGTGCACGCTTGCCTGACTGTATTCTTCTGGATCCACCCCCTCAAATTTCATGAGTACTGTCTCAGTTTAGGCTGTCATAGTAGAATATTGTAGACTGTGTGATTTAAGCGACATTTGTTTCTTATACATCTGGAGAATAGAAAGGCTAAGGTCTTGGTATAGCAGATTCAATGTTTAATGAATTTTTTTTTCTTATTTAGCAGAGTTTAGACTCCTTTTATTTGTACAAGACAGAAAAAGGAAGCAAGTTCTCCAGGTTCGCTTCCACGAGGGTACTAATCACCTTATGGGGGCTGCACTCTCATGACCTAATTTCTTCCCCAGAGGCCCGTCTTTCAATGCTTTCGCATGGGAAGTTATGATTCCAAGATACGATCACAAATATTCAGCCCTCACATCCCACGCTGACTCACCGATCATGTTCTCCTCCTGTGCGAAGTCTAATTGCGTCTCTCCAGTCCCAAATGTCTTAGATTATTCCACCACCAAAACTGCTCTCTAAAGTACAAAATTTCATCTAAATATCATATAATTAGGCCTAGGTAAGACCAGAGGGAACATTCGGCCTATGGCGAAATTCCTTTCCAGCTGTAAACTTATGAAACCAAACAAGTAGTATTTCCAAAATGAAGTGGTGTGGCTAGGATAGGAAGGGCATTTCTGTTCCAAAGGGAAGAAAGAATATAAAAGCAAGAGATTCTGGATTTCATATGAATTAAAAAACAACAACAAGAAAACAAGAGCAGGCCAAACCCCATTAAACCCTGAGATTTAAGAGTAACATTTCACCTGGATCAGAACCTTGCTACCTTGCTCACTGAGGCCATAAGCTACCACTGGGCAGGGCTGTGCCCACACTGGGGCTCTGCGCCTTGACCCCAGCTACGTGTGCAGCTCAGACTTCCAGGGCTCTGAGAGGTGGCCTCACTCAGGTGCCGGTGCCCAGGGCTGGGCCCACACTTTGAAATCACTGTGGAAGTGGCCACAGCCAGGCCCCTAATGATCCTTTCAATATTCTTTATCTGACCTGAAGAATAGCACATGTTCTCAGGTGGTATGATCTGGTCCTATAGGGTTTAAGAAGCCTGAAAGTCTTCTTTCATTTTTATTGTTTCTCTATTTCCTTCAGTCCCAAATGTCAGTTTGTCAGCTATTGCGTTATCATCTTTATTCCTCGCGTTTGTTGACATAATAGATGAAATCCATGGCTTACATCCTTTTATATCTTCTTATCAAATAATCAGTCTGTCAGTCCTTAGTGTTCACCTCTCAAAACACATTTTTATTTTTGGTGACATGGGGAGGCTGGGTTATTTTTAAGTTTAAAGTTCCAATTCTTTTTTGTTTCGCAAGCCTACCTTCAATTAATATGATATAAATACTAAGAACCAAGCTACTTTCCAAGTTCAGTTTATAAACATGAGGTAAATATCAAATTTCAGCCCTTGAAAGTTCTCTCTTCCACAAAGCATTAGAATATGCGCACTGTATACCAGAGCTTTTGCCCCTTGATAACAAGTATTAGTCTTCTTTCAGCTTCCAGTAATGACCCTCATTACTCAAAGTGGCTTTTGTTTTCTGTATTCTGAGTATTCTGTTCATGAGAATTTAAATACTCTCTAAGAAGAAAGAATCCTTTCCTTCATTTCTTTTGTTCTATGTGAACCTTAAACGGAATCACCCTGAATACTTGTGATTTATGAAAATTCATCACTCTACTGGCCCCTACCCGTTATACAGCTGCAAAGCAGTTTTCTAAGTAATCAGCACAGCAGCAATGTGTCTGCCTGGTGCCCCTTTCAGTTTGGTCCAGTTCAGGCAGCTATTACAAATTACTCCAAAACACTGGATTAAGCAATAAACATTTATTATATCTTTCAGTTCTAAAGAAGAGATCAAAAGTGACAGTGGGTCCAGCGTCTGCTGAGGATGTAATTTTATTTATCATCTCCTTGTATTCTTATAAGGCAGAAAGTGAAAGTTCTCCCAGGTTGCTTTGGTCAGGACACTTATCTGTGCTTGTGGGCCCCACCCCATGACCTAATTATTTCTCAATATTTCCATCTTCCCCACGCTGCGCACTTGGGGATGAGACTTGAACATATAGATTCTGGAGAAATACAAACATTCCATCCAAAACAAATATTTTCCTTCTTACATCATGTCCATGATGAGAAAAGAACTCCAAAAAGAACATCTCTCTTACAAAAAAGAAGAAAAGTAGGGATTACTCACCATCCCCTGCACTTCCAGCCAAATGCAGCCGGTTTATTCAGCGGGTAGAGGTTGTTTTTGTAGACAGTGGTAAAGGCCTACTAAATATGTTTGTAGTATTTTTATGAATTTTAGCAGTTGTTCAGAAAATATTAACAGTTGTAATAAAAAATACAAAGATAAACATTGATTTAAATGCCTCACAGTTAGATAAATGAAAATGTATATATGAGTAGAACTCCATATCTAAAGCCCTCACTAAGTTATTTGATGAGGTGAGTTTTCTCTTTTCAAGACAATTAAAAACATGATGAGGCCAAAATATAAACAGACATATTATTTTAATGCAATATTTTAGAACATCCCTGCCCAGACACATACACAAATAGGAAACTTTGTAGAAAATACCACTAGGTAAAGCAACACAGTTTCAGGTCCAAGAAAATTGTTGAGTCATGATCCTGGTCTGAGAAACAAAAGCAAGCTACATTTTAGAGAAATTCTTCCGTGGCAAATGTATTTTATTTTTTGTGTCAGAGGAGCTAGCATCTGACAAGTGGTACTTTACAGAAAATAAAGTTGTACCTTACTCTTACTTCTAATGAGCAGCTCCTGCCTCACCAAAGCTGTCCACAAAGACAGATCTAATTGATCCCCTGGAGGCGTTTTCAAAAGATGAGTTGTTTTTGAGCAACATCAAACCTGTCTTCATTCCCCATCCTTGGGGTAAAAACAACCTTCAATCATGTCAGTGCCGGGAATGTGAGGTGCGACTCAACTTTCTCCGGTCTGAAAATATATTTGCTCACTTAAGAATGAGAGTGAAAATACTTTGAGGAAGCACCAGAGGTAAAGCTATTTGACATACCTACATGTACTCTGTATTGCTTGCCTTGGCATAACTTTGTTCTGACAGAGTTATTGTGCCAGCTATTAATTTAGTACTGTGTTATTTCCTGTCTCTGGGTATTTTATTACTGTTATCATCATCACCATGATCACTGAATGCAGCAGCTACCCAGAGATCAATGGCATCCCCGAGAACTAAAGCCCTCTGAAGAAAGGTTGACCTTGGTTTATTGGCTGGCAGATATCCATGTCAGGTTCTTACTTCATCCTCCCCTGCCAACCTCAGATGAATCTCCAGCTTCTTTCCTTAACTATTCTATTCCTTGCTATTTGATAAATAATTTCCTGCCTCTGGTGTTGTATGCGCTTTGAGGTGGACTTTTTACTATACACAATTCATTACAGTTCATAGAAATTATTTTTATTAACTTGACTGGTACATGTTAGGTACACAGTACAGTCACACTCATCATTGGGATCTTGTACCTTTACATGACTTATCTTTGTTCTTATGTTTTCCCCATAGAAATTATTTTTAGTGAGTCCAGATAAGATAGGAATAGTTGACCCACCAACATCTGGCTTTAATTGAAGGGATGTTCTTTTTTTTTTCATTTTTTATTTTTTGGTACCAGGGATTGAACTCAGGTCCTTGTGCTTGCTTGTGAGGCAGGCGCCGAACCAATGAACTAAATCCCAAGGCCCTTGAAGAAATGTTCTTAATGCACCAAG